GTTCTGTATGTACCAGACTGTATCTGGTAATTACAGGTTACACACCCCATGAATAAAGAGTACACACTCCATAAATATAGGTACCTAACCCATAAGAACCTTACTATGTAATAAATAAACCCTTTAAATATTTAATACATAGCCCATGAGTACCTGGTGCCTACATAGTACGAACCCTGTCATTACCAGGTACATGCTACACTAGTACCTACAAGGTAAATAACAAAAGAAGAGTACAGATATGTACCAGATATGTACCTAATAAATACAAAGTAAGTTTGGCAAGTCACTTCCAAAAACAACCAAGAACTCGTATTAGTACAAAGTACAAGTTACTTCCAAGTAGTGTCTAGACAAATACCATGTAAGTACCGAGCACACACCCTTTAAATACAAGACGCTGCTTATTCTGTGCAGTAAAACCTTTAGAAAAAGTTTCAAAAGCTTTGAAAAGTTTTACATTTTTACACTCAAATATCTGAATTGAAGCATATCTATAGCCTGAATCTTGTTTGAACATCATTGACTTATTAAATCACCAGATAATAAAGCGTTCAAAGATTTGTTACCAGTTTATTTATTGAACTTCTTTGTAGGTTTGTGTCACCCAGATGCAGCTGTTGAGTTTTATTTTGAAATTTYAAACAGGAAACGGTTTTCTTCACTCCCTCTGATCTGATGCTGACTGTTAAACTCCAGCGTTGTGGGCTTTAAATGGAAGCTCCTTTATAAAAACAGTTGAATGTCTCATTAAACTTTCAGCTTTAACTCTGAGATAAAACAGTGAGAACAGCTGCTTTGACGGTAAAACGAGTCGATAATAAGAGAAATAAAAACAGAGGCCCTTCCTGACAGATGTGCAGGTTAATCCAGCTCCTCRCTGAGGCCTTCATTTAACAGGATTAGGGACACTTTTAATTATATTTATAGTAATCCATCTTATCTTCTCAGAGASATCAATTGGATTTTGTGTTTTATTTTCCGTACAAATCTGAAATCCACCTCTGATTTCTCCGGGGATCTGGAGGCTAAATTCTCCTCGACCTCAGAGAGTGGCAGCGCTGTCAGGCTCAGTTAAGCGTGCTCAGGCTCCCGCTGCTAATTTGAGGGCCTGGTGGGACACAATGGGGCCTTTTGTTGCTGGGAGAGGACTAATCCTTGACACTGGACCATTCAGGGCTCRGAGGWTTTGTTTCAGAAGATGGGCTGGAGGTTACAGCCGGCTTCATGGGGACAACCTGCAGGAGACCAGTTCTGATTATTCTGCAGGCTTTAATGAAAACACATAAAGGGTTAATGTCACATGGATCTGAGGGATTATTGAGCTCAGATCTGAAACATTATTAGAAACAATAACCTGAATGTGCAATAATAACTTTATTTACTCACACRGCAGGAGGAACAGTCTGATTTAAATACTGATGACACAAATAAAAGTAAATATTTAACAGAGCTTCTCACAGTGACCCCATGTGACCTCAGACTCATTTCTCAGTATTTAATGACCGTTAAAACTCTGCCGTCAAAGGGACGGGCAGGCTTAAAACCATTTTAAAACATGAAACATTAAAATGCTGCTTCTGTTGTCTTCTGGACATTTGACTTTATTTATTTCCTGAAAATAGCAGCTGATGGGTACCGGCAGGCGAAGCGGAATGCGGCTCGGGTGGTCGCTGAGGCAAAAACCCGGGCGTGGGAGGAG